TTAGCTTTTATTGTTCTTAGAGCGTTTCATATCTCACGTCATCTTGAGAGATGTTGTTCTGCGCATCTGGAACAATGATGACGTTAATTGATACTGGCTATTGGATAATAATAGAGTTGTTATTGGTTCTTAATTGAAATGGCTAAGGTGGCGCTATGTAGCATTTACATTTACCTTACATAGCCATACAAAACTAAGGAAGTTGTATTTTGAAAAGAGAATTTATTTTCTCATACTTGTAAAGACCGATTATTCAGTTATCAGCTTATTTTATAGCTGGAGCACATATCTTTAATATTTAATTTCATCATTAAGTTTGTTGCATTATTTGTTTGTTGTTTAAATTCTTGCTTCAGTTGTAAAATTGAAGTTGAAGGGGCGGCTGATTTGATATCAGTTAAATAGTTTTGTGTCTGTTTTCTTTTCTGACTGTTGAAAATAAGTTCTATTAACTTTTAAGAGCTATCAGTTTGAACAATTTGGCATGGTTATTATCTGTTTCATTTTCATGTATTCCAATATATATCACACTCTGGTAATAATGCAGCTCTTTAAAAGTTTTTCTTCTTTCTTCGTCAAGTCGCATCATGAAAACCGAACCGCTGTTTTTTTTTGCAAATAATGGAAGCGAAGAATGGAGTACAGCCTTTTGCAGTAACTGTACCACAGCCGTTGCAAGCTTCGTGTTTAGCACATCATTTTTCACAATTTTCCATTTGCAGGCAGCGGAAAATGTTTGCAGAGTCGTCGACGCTGCCGAAGCAGCCACCCGTTCAGCCATATTGCATGTTTAAGAGATAAGCGTCTGAATTATTATCATACTCGTAGGGCCCTGGGGAACCTGGGTTGGACCTGTGTATAGCTCGTGTGTGGACCTGTTGCTCGTTTTGCCTTTGCACTTTTGATTTTCTGCTCCGTTGAGTTTTTATGTTCCATGTAAGTTTTGGCTTGCCACAAAGACTTCTTTGAATGGCAAGTGTACTAAATAGCGAAAAGGTGGAAAATCATCATCGTTACATTTGTAATTTGCCATATACAATTGAACGTTTCTCCCCAAAATATTTTGGGTAATGCTTCGGGCATTCGCTAGACATTGTCGCCATGTATGCGGAATACGTAAAAATAATATATTTTTTGAATCGCAGACTATTAGGGCAGCCACCCGTAACTTCAGCCACATAACTAGAATTTGGTATAAAACTTATAATAAATAAAAGAGAAATAATAAACATAATATTTTCGGAGTGCCGAATATTAAATACGCTTTCAAACATATAGCTTATCATAGTGTAACTTTTTTGCCTAGAAATTGTTTTTACATGATTGTTTTCAACTTTGCATTTTAACAAGCCCGGATCTCTAGCCAGCTATAAACATATTTAAAAAATAAGGCAATTTCATTAAATATATGTGCTATTCGGCCAAATTGGATGTATATATAAAAGCATAGCATTAGCTTTATCAATGATAGAATAGATTGCATAGAAACAGACAGACGTCCAGATGGATACGACTGCTGATACTGATCAAGAACATATAAACTTTATGGGGCCAGAGATGACTCCTTCTATGCGTTACACATTTCGTGACAAAAGAATAACCCTCTGCCAGGGGCATTAAAAGGAAAGTCAGGCACCTATTTTGGGCTCACTGAAATATTATTCTTGTTGGTCGTAAAATAATTGTCGGCTCATAACAGGAACGAGGAACAGACGGTCATAGAGATAAAGAGAGAGAGAGAGAGAGAGGAAGAGAGCTGGCAATAGAGCGCGACATATCACATTGGCCCCTGGCTTACGGAGCAAGAACTGCCCTGTAATTATGATGAGGCCAATAGTATAACAAGAAACTGACCCTAAATGCGGCGCATTTTAAGGCCCCTAGTAATTAAGAAATCCCTCTTTTTTTCTGTTCATAAATTTATTTAATATTCTGGTTTTATTTCGAGCAGCGGCAAAAGTTTCACAGAATTCTGTTTTGATGACTTCACTTAAAAGTCAAAATGGTCATACATGTGGATTATTATTATTATTGTTTCTAGTATTTTAAAGTACAAAATGCCAACTTGTTTCGGTTCTGTTTTCTTAAGCTTGTTGTTTGCCTTCTTCTTATTTTTTTTCCCGGGATTGCGGCAGCTACTGTCGCTGCCGTGCCAGCTCCACATTAAGTGTAGGCCCGTTTTTTGGGCTGGCTGGGCGGTCAATTGCTTTTGACCCGGGCCGGTGGCCCCAGCCCCTCTGCTGTTAGGTCTTGCGCATCCGTTAGTTTAGTAAGCTCGGGAAGTTCTGGAAATGATTTTCCTGTTTTGGTGAAAGCTCGTTAGCTGGTAGTATTTGCTCGCTGAGAACACAGTCGCTGCAGGATTGAAGCCGCAGCTGTTGTTGTTGCGCCATATGTTGCAACTTTCACCCGAAATAAATACTATGAAATACATGCAGCTTTCCCAAAAAAAAAAATAGAAGCAATTTGCAATTGTTTTGGCCAATAATTGCAACTAATGCAACAAAACAATATCAAAAGCAAGCAACAAAAATTGCACAATTTAGTCGAAAGAAACCATCGTGTCGCTGGGAGCTCCACTCTGACTCATTGTACAGCCAGAAACCTATCGTGTTTGTATATATCATGTATCTATATACGAAACTGGAGCACAAAGTGCTGAGATGATAGAAAATGCTTGCATAAAGCGCACAACTTCCGTAGTTGTTTTTTATGCTGGAAATAGATCTTATAAGTTGTATTTAGAAATTTTCTATAGATAGTTTTGTTGCCGCGTCATTTCCTTATCAAGGCAAGCTGCCAAATGTCACCAGCAGCACCCACGGCATAATTAATTATCCCTAAGTTCCCCAGCCGCACCACTGATCCGACTACTGTGCGCCTTTTTCCAAGGCAGTTTCAGTTTTTTTTTAAACTTATTATTATTTTTTTTTGTCTGTTTGTTGTTTGTTTTGTAATGTTTGTCATGCAGGCGCTGATAGCGCACGGCTGTGCACCCCTATAAAGCGTACCGTAGAGCTATAAAGAATTATCGCATAGTCTACAGTTAGATCATCAAACGGGGGTTTTAACACTGGCACCAGCTCCAGGCACAGGTACATTACATACAACACACAAAAACAATTCACCGTCACGGTTCGATGACAATGAAAAATAATATAAAAAAAATGCATGAGCTCCGAATACACTATGTATAGAACCTGGGTGCCATGGCATTATATGGTATACATACCTGTATTTATATATATATAAAAATATATATATATATTCATAATGAGACGAAATTGCCTGATGTCTAACCAAAACGCAGGTTATACCCATAATCGTGCACATTACTATTAACTTACTTATTTAGTTTTCAGCAGTGAAACAACAATAGATCAGTCCGATTACTAGTATGTGTGGATATCATTGAAGGAAATAAGCGACTGGTGTTTTGTCAAATAAAACTAAAAAGCTTTAATAAATCGGTTCCATAATACTTATTTCGAATGTTAAAAATCGACTGGATATTAAACAATTTGTCCCAAAATAAGCTAAAGTATTCCCATATTAAAAAGGTTAGAAGAAGAAATGCTGGTCGTGAGGATATATGATATAGTAATATGATCTATGTGTGGCGAAAACGACGGCCTCACTTGAAGTGTTTACTTATATACTTATATATATTGATTTATTTCAGACTTAACGACCATTATAAATACAATTTTAGGGAGTGAAACTTTACAATGAGCAAAAATATTTTTAAAACAGTTGTAAAGGAACAAGTTATATGGTCTTAAAGGATATAACCAAAGTGAATTAGTCTAGTTTATATTATACATGCTTTGATAAGAATGGTGCCAGAAGTGGATAAATATTTTCCTGGATCATTTACAACTCTCAGTGGTTGCTGATGCTTAGCCGAATGGAAAGCTAAGTGATGGAAAAAACCGCAGCAGCAGCAGCATAAGTTGGAGCCGCAGCAGTAACAGCTGCAGTTTGTTGCTGCAACTAATTGCATTTAGTCAACGGTCACCGGGAACAGATCGTCTAACGGTTGCTTCCGTTAAGCAGACGTAGCATAGCCATGAAATGGCGAATGATTTTCTAACCAAATCAAAGCATAGAGCACCCAGTAACAATCTAAGTAACAGTAGCGAGTAGTTTCCACATGAATGCAGCTGCCGGCACGAGCTCAGACCCGGCCAGGGCGGAAGTAGCGGTCATCGAAAGGTTCAAGCATAGCTCGGACCAAGTGCCAGGATGATGCTGAATAGACGATAGCTGATCATAACGATCATTATTGTAATGAACAATTAGGGATTGAGGTGCCGTCGCGTGGCGGCCAACAAGTGCAAACTTCCGATTGCAATTGCTCTACGGTATGCGCACGTACGCACAAACATGTGTACATATGTATATCTATTGGGCGCTAGTTCCTGTACGTTTTTAATAAGGGAGCTGTTAAGAAGATTGCTCTAAACGATCAACCGTATATTAAAATTACAGCTGTGATCAGCGTCTTGTAGCGGAAGTGATGTACCCCATCAGACGGTTCACATGGTATCAGGTCAAGCAGAGGTGGCCAGGTACCAGCTAAAAGTTTGAATTCTAGCGAAAAGTCGGAAACGCAGCTCTTAAGCAATATCTGGCCCAAGTAGCGGCAAAAGGGGGCAGCACATGGCGACAATTTGGGCAATGAAACTGGAGTCAGAAACGGAGCGCTTGAGCTAATGATCATTGCAATTGACCTGAGAGACGATCAGAGCCAAGAGGGAGAAAGAGAGATAGAGAGTGAGAAATAGATATATATTGGGAGAATAATCGTGAGAGCGTCTGAGGAAGCGAGATGGCAAGTTGTACACCTCGAACAAGTAATTACACCTGTGCTAATACGCTTCACTGAGCGCGTCGTGAGCAAGTGAGATAAGCATAACAGCTGTTGGAGAGTAGCGAAGCCAGCTAGCACCGCGGCGAGGTTACAAAAACCCCGTGCCATGAACGAACCCAGACAAGTCGCAAAATGGAACGCAAGCGAGCGACGTCGCGTTCTGCTACAAAATCGCTAACAGTGTGACCAGAGTAAAACTCAACAACAGTTGCAATAGACAGACAGACAGGGAGAGAGAAAGAGAGTGAGTTGCTCAGCATTACCTTGTATACGTTTGCTGTTGTTGTTGCTGCTGCTGCTGCTGGTGTTGGTGATGGTGGCGCGTTTTTGTGTACGTTGCTTTTGGTTACCTGTCGTGTTGGCCACGTTTGTGACGATCCGATCAGTGCACCGTCAGCGAGCGGCGCGCGCAGTTTGTGGCTCCAGCAACAGTCGCACAGTCATGGCAACAACAACAACAACAACAACAACATCAGCTATCGCCGAGAGCAAGAGATAGCACAACAAAGTGTAAGATAAACTGATAATACAATAGAAACTAGAAATGGCCAGAGAAACGTGGCGCACAAAAAAAAATCAACAACAAAACAACACCGAACCTAAAAAACTAAAAAAAAAAAAACAACTAAATAACTGAAAAGCAACAACAAAGAAAATGCGCAACGTCAACGGCAAACGGCGCAGTGTCAATAAAACTCTCGAATTCATTAACACGACACAAAACGTTCTATTAGTAAGCACTTGCAAATTTGTATGAAATGAAATGGAGACGGAGACGCGCAGAAAGAGACTCGAGCCGAGACAAGCTACAAATTAGCGTGGAGAGCCTATCGAATGGCGAAGAGGAGCAACGCAACAATCGAACAGCGGTTGAAAGGTCTAAGCTATCAAATAGAGGGGAGCCATGCAAAGAGATATACACTTATTATAAAGCCCAGACCCGGACGCGGACACAGACGCAAATTCTTAAATCTAAGGCCATAATAATACAAACTCAACGCTGTCGTATCCTTGGCTTCTAAAGGACAGGTGAGTGAACAATAATACTTTTGTTTTCTTATTTGTATTTTGTTTTTATTTTAATATTTTTTTTTGTATTGTTATTCATCCAACTGCAATTGCTATTTTGTAGTTTCAAAAGATATAGACGTAGTTTAAGGGGAAATATACCCTAAATGCAAAGATAAGTAACTGCTGTAGTGTAATAATTAAAATATATAACATAGGAGATAAAAAAAAGTACGGTAATTTTAATAATTTAAGGTAGTACATTTTTTTTTTTTTTTTGGTTTATGACCAAACATTTAAATTAATCATGAATGAGTTATTACAACTGTTGTTCTATTTATATAATTGTTAACTTATATTTTGGGGATATTTTTTTTCGGGCTCTACTTAATTTTTTTACTTTATTTCCTTTTTTTTTGCTAGCAGTAACATGAATACTTAGTTACAATCCATAAATTAAAGCCCAGAAAAATTTGGATTTTTTTTTTTTTTCAAAGAGTTTGTGCTCAATCATTTCATATAATTTGTAGCATAATAGCGCAAACATTTAGCAATGGCTTAAACAAGTCAATAAACGATTAAAAAAATGATTTTTCAAAAAAATTATCTCAAAGCCCACACAAAAGTCAAACGAGCCCAAAAATATTACAGTCAAAGCCAAAACACAAAAAAAAAAAAATGAAAAGAGGGGAAAAAATATATAATAAAAGGCAACTTTGGGGCAGCTCGACACATCGGCAATTCTCGGCACTGAGCGTGTTTGTAGCTTTAATTGCGAGTCAAGACGGCAAGTGACATCATTTTAGGCAACTTTTTGGATTTGGCAAACAAGTTGTACTCTAAGAGTTTGTGGCTGTTGGTGTTGTCATTGCTGCTGTGTAGTCACAGGTTCTTCGCGCTTAATTGCTATGACTTTATTAGGTTATCAGTGCTGTGTGTATTTGTGCTGTGGTGTGTGCGGATTTTGATGATGGAGTTATGTCTCATTAGCAACACGTGTGTGCTTGAATCTTGTACTCAGCTCACAGCTCACCTTAGCTCAGCACACACACAAGCAAACACCTATATATATATATATACCTATATATATATTTGTGTATATATACTCACACAGCTGTAATATCAATTACAGCATGCCTCAGGAGCAGTCAGTGGAGTCAATAACTGGTTTTGTGTAGTCAGTACAACGAGAATGAATAAAAAAATAACAAAAAAACTCATTGCTGTTTGGGACACCTCCTGCACATTGCACACTCATACAGACAAGAGCTCCTGCAGGTTTCAGGTTGCATTTGCCTTGACTCGAACGCTCCTAAAATGACCCAGAGCTATCGCCACAGTTGTTTTTGCTGCTACAGCTTGCCACAGCCATAAAGTTGCAGCAGGAAACCCGAACAGCAACTACAACAATTTGCAAACTCATGCCAGGCAGCCTTAAAAGGCCGCCTCCATCCGCTCCACTCCGGTACGGCCCGATCTGACTCTGGCAAATAAAAGTGCGTGATTTGTGTCTTGAGCCCAAGTGATGTGCCAGCCACCACCAGAGAGACAACCGAGACACGGAGAGCGTCTTCAGGCTCAAGCCTCCGACAATCCATCAAGCAAACACCGCTAACACTGCGGTCTGGTCTGTTGACCCCTCCTAGGAGCCCAAGAGCCTGCGAGGCCGAGATGCCCATGAGGCCCATGAGTCTAAGTGCTCAGCTCAGCTCAGCCTCAGTTGCGCAGTTGCAGTCAAAATCGCTGCCTCCGTTGGTGGCAGCTGCGCATGTCTAATTGCAGTCAAAGTCACTACACTTAACCAGGCAACGAGTCGTGTGAATCCGCCACCAGTTCAGCTTTACTCCGCGCAGTTGTGATAATTGCCAGCGGGTCAGGCAGCAGCACCACCGCCAGCAGCCGCATCAGTTGAAAGTCTACAAGGCAGTTAAACTTGAACTTAAACTCCAACTTAAAGTTAAATTTAAAAGTCCCTTTATCAGGCACTTGCTCACGTCAACAATTTCAAGAGCGCTTTGCTTCGTGCACGATCGCTACTTAAGAATGTTAACTTGCCACCGACCATTAGGGAAATTACAAGAAAAGTACCAAGAATCACAGAAGAGAATTTATAAATGATAGATGGTTAGTATTAAGGAACTTAAGCATGGTTATTAGAAATCTGAGAAACGGGTGAATATATTTTTGATATTTAAAAGACATATAGGATATAAATATGAAGAAATTAAAAAGGAACTGCTTAAGTTGTTAAATGGCAGCTTTTGTTTAAAAAGGTAGAGGTGAATTTATTGCATATGTTATGTACCAGACCAATAGGAGGCAAATTTGATTATACTAGGTATATATTCTTAGTCAGTATTAAAAGTCGAGTCGACCCAGCCATGTCCGTGTATATCTTTATCCTTCTTTAAATTTGTAATATCAAAGTCTTCTTCTACGTACCTGGTTATACCAAGTTTTACCCAATTATGTGAGATGATTTTATAAGAATTTTGTATATGATTTAAGTTATGAGTTTGTTTTAAAAGTCTTAACGTTGACTCTTTTTTTTTTTTGCATCAGTTTGATGTTGTTTTTTATTAGGTTGAATGACATCGGGCCAAGTTTAGTTGGCGTTCAAGCGCTTTGCCAGTTGGATTAGTGCTTCGTTTTTTGCCATGTCCAGCACTTCTGAAAATGTTGCGTTTCCTGGAACGGCTCAGGGCAGGTCACACAATCTTTCTCTTTCCCATTTCATGTTTTATTTATTTATTTTTCTCTTTTAATTTTCAAACTAAGGTTGTTTGCTTTTACATTTTTTTTAATGCTGATGTAGCTACCTTTTTGGTTTTTGTATCTTGTTTTGTGTTGTTGCTGTTGTCACTTTTCGGCAGAAGTTGTAAAATGTTGTTCAAAGCGCCGCTAACCCTTGGCGTTAATGGTCGCCGCTGGGTACAAAACAGCGCGAGTTTTTAGCCATCATTGCTGGGGCTAGTGTCTAATAGCCAACCAATTGCTAAGGGCTTTCTGGCTACTGGTTGCATTCACGCAAACAACAAATGGCATCATTTAAAAACACATTTCGCCTGCTCATCATCATCATCCTGGCAGCCAGCTTGCACTTGCCAAGTTAAAGTCAAAGTCTCCATCTTCAGTTGCAGTCGCAGTCGCGACCACAGTTTCTGGCTCAGTCACAGGTGCACAGCGGGCAGTAGTCACAACATAACGCTGCTCATATATCTTGGCCTTTTGGGCGGCAAGTGGGGTGTGGGGCTATGGGGGGGGGTTGCAACGGGTTGCCGGCTGCTTCAATTGATGCTGACAGCGAATGAAAGGCGCTGCCTGGTGACTGCAGAGGTCGTAGCACAAAACCGCTGCACGCTGCTTCTTGCTTGTACTTCCTCTCCAGATGGGTAAACCAGTTTCTAGCCACATACACACGACGTCGACGACGACGACGACGACGACTCCCCAGATCAATTCTAGCAGATTTCACTTTTTTCCTGATCGCCAAGTCGACTCTCGACTCGGCACTGTCAGTTTTTTTTTGTGTTGTTGCTGTTGTTGTACGTTTTTAAGGTGCAGCTCGAACGGTTGCAACTGTTGCCTGTTGGATGCTTGTCGTCGTTTTGTTTCTGCTTCGTTCACCAGCTTCCAGCTCTCCATTGTAGCTCCAGCAACGTCTGCATTGCATTTTTATCAGAATGAGTCGCGCCAACATGTTGTCGTTGTTGCTGCTGTTGCATGCCACAAATGTGCGATTGGCATGTCAAAAGAATTATGTATTGATTTTTGATTTGGCATCGTGGATATATTTGGCGACGATCTTTGAACCCCAACACAGACAGTACCCATTGACAGCCCCGTTTAACCACAACACGCTCGCAAAACTCTTATTAAGCGCAAAAATATCAGTCTAAATACGTGCAACCTGGCTTAAGGATGAACGAAAAAACAAGTTCTCTGGCTGTAAGTGGGCGCCGCTTGGTCGCAAAATGAATGACACTAAACGCTCCTGACAGCGAACATTTGTCGGTGCCTATCGCAGCGGGGCAGTTAATTACTTTTGCACGAAATTATGTTAGTTAATTGATTAAGCGTCGCATATTTTGAGCACTTCTGATTAACCGAAGCGGTTTCAACAACCCAGTGGGCGGTTCCTTTGACGTCCAAGCCTTGCCTTAAAAGCCAACGTAACACGAATTTATGTGTATTTGTTCCTTTTTGGATATTGCGCTTGGCTCTGAGGCTGCACCCACCCACGCGCCTTAGGCACTGGCAGAGATTACTCTTGTAAAGGCAGTTGCCGTCCAAATATGTACAGGGGCGGTGTTTTTGGGATACAGGAACATAAAATTACCCGAATCAAATCATAGTCAACAGACTAAGTTGGGCAAAGCTTGATCAGATTTTAATTAAAATAATGTATATCATAATACCCTTTCAAATTGAAGAATTATCAAAAGCTTACCATTCTACTCTACTTTACTCTACTTTACTCTACTTTCTATATTCATAGCTGTGTATATATAAAAAATATAGAGAGAAATCGAGAGAGGTAGAGAACAAGTGACACGGTGTATTTCCTCAGTTAATAACCAAAAGATTTTTTATTTGTAATACGCTATAGTCAAGCAATAAAACGAGTCGCTCTCATTGTTATTTAAAGCTTTGGCAGCACATTGATATTTTTTGTTTAAGCCATAGCGATTGTTGCTGCTGTTGCTGTGTGCCTCTTATATTGTCATCTACTTGACACATACACAGAAATAATATTACATACACGACTTTTTCATACAGTCACGTTTTTTGTTCTCTTCATGGGTAGAAAATGGGTATGAAAAAAGGGGTATAATAGTTTTGTGCAAATGTATGTGACAGAAGTTATAGATTGTTTTCTGGCGGTTGCTGCGTTGAATTAGGTTGCTGACGGGCATAGAAAATATTCACGCAAATATCAAATCGATCGCCCAGTTTGACGCAAAAAAAAAAAAAAACAAAAAATCTGTAAAAAATCAGGCGCGGTAAAGGCCAAAACATTT